TCATAAGAGGTTATAGAGATGAAATGAGATGCTCCCATAAAGCACTCCTTAGACCAATGCCTGGCACATAATAACAGTGTTAAAGTAAGTTGTGAAGGGTCGGAGGCAAAGAGGACATAGAGCCTCTAAAGCAAAAATAGGACATTAGGAAGAAAGAACTGGTACGGTAGGAAAAGTAATTCCAGAAATAAAACTGTAGATACTGAAAGGTCTCGTCAGCCTTGCAAAGACATCCACACATCCTAAGCAGAAGGGGGACTGCGTTTCAGCCAGCCCTGGGCTTCGGAGGAGCGCTGGAGCCGGGGAGACAGGCAGGAGCCGCCAGGAGTCTCCGTCGCTGATTCCACCCTCGCCTGAGAAAAGAACCTGGGTGTGGCGGAGCTTGCTACATAATGGTTTCAGGGCCCGCAGACTTTTAGTTCTAGAAGTCTTTTTGCTCGTGGTTTATATCAGAAGTAGGCAGTTGATCAGGTGGTGGGCACAGTGGCTAAAATGGCAGCCAGATTTCTGGACGCGGACCCAGCTCTGTGAGGTGCTAGTTGTGTGACCTTAGACATGTGAGTTAACCCTTGGCACCCAGTTTCCCACCTGCAGAATTGCACCTGGGAAGGGAGAATGTCAGGTTGAGTATAGGCTCACCCAGCTGGCATAGCTCAGTGGTGGAGCATCGACCTATGAACCAGGAGGTCACGGTTCGATTCCCCCTCAGGGCACATGCCCGGGTTGTGGGCTTGATCCCCGGTGTGGGGCGTGCAGGAGACAGCCAATCAATGATTCTCTCTCATCATTGATGTTTCTATCTCTCTCTCCCTCTCCCTGCCTCTCTGGAATCAATAAAAATATATTTTTAAAAGACTGAGTATAAGCTCTAGAATCTGACTGCCAGAGTTCAGGTCCAGGCCCCGGCTCTTACTAACTGGGCAAGCCTTGAGCATGTTATTTAGCTTCTCTGCTTCAGTTTCCTCATCTATGAAATTGGGATGTTTGTGAAGATAAAATTAGCTAATATACATACACACACGCACACATAATACATATGTAAAATACGTGACATACTTTAATACAATCCTGGCACCTAAGTGCTCAATAACTTGGGGAGGTCACTGTAAAGATTAACTAGGTTAACTGATTTAAGAACATAGTAGGTGTTCAATAAACGTCAGTGATGACTGCCAGTTCCTGGATTGCTTCCTTTTCACTGCACACCCAGCACACAACTGCTGAACGGACAACGATTGATTGAACAACTGATGGTGGGAATGCGAGGCAAGGAGGGGAGATGGGGTAGGCCAAGACATAGGAAGGAAAAGGCCCTTTGTGCCCAAGATGCAGCTCTCTCTCCTCTCCTGGATTTGAGAGAGGATGGGAATGCACCGTCCTCGCCCTCCCTTCCTCTCCCACACAAGGGCACTACATCACAGGACTGGAACAGCTGGTGGAGTTTATTTGGGCAGTGCGAACGGGACCGACGTTTCACTTGTGCACACAAACACACACAGGCACACACAGCCTGAGCAGCGTCGCTCGAGGTTGACATCATCCGCTCTGGGTCCCCAGATTTCAGGCAGGTGTGGACCTCAGGAACCTGAGGAGGCCCAGGATACACAGAAACTGTGATGGGAAGAGTCCAGGAGCCCTCCCCTTGCCCACCAGGCCGTGGGAACCCATTTTCTTCTCCCCCCCTGAGTGCCAGAACCCCACTTCCATCCCTGCTCATCATCTCCCTCCTCCATAGAGGGCAGCCCCCGGCTTACCTGAAGGGAATCAGTGGGTGCTCCAGGTCCCCTTGTGGCTCCCTCCTCCGCATGCTGGTTCTGGCCCATCAGGATTATCCATGTTCTCGTAAGAATCTGCATCTGGTTAGGACCAGGGAGGAGTGAAACGCAGAGCTGGGAGGAGGCTGGGAGAGTAAGCCTCAGAGGACAGCAGGGGGCAGCAGCAGAAGCACCCACCTTCCTCATGACTGGGTCCAGGCTGGGCCCGAACGGAGCGGAGCTGGGGAGCTGCATACAGGATCCCCCTCATATCCTCATAGGACTGGGACCCTGTGTGGGCAGGAGATGGAGAGTTGGGGGTTTGGGAGCCATGCTGGGGGTTTGGGGAAGGAAAGTGCAGCCTAAGATATGGAGGGAGCCCGAGGGGCAGGGAGAGGTTGACCCATGATTTACTAGGAAGGAGTGATTAGGGTCAGCATCAGGTTCGGGGTCCTTGCTAATCTTAGGGTTCAGTCAGGTATGGGTTAGATCATGGTCATGGTCAGAGAAAGTCCAAGTTAGAGTCATGAGGAGAGAGCTGGGTCAAAACTAAGGTGTGGTGTCACAGTCCAGGCTGGAATTGGACTGGGACCAGGGTTGATGTTCGTGGTTAGGGATGGGGCAGATCCTGGCGTCAAGTTTAGGGGTGGGGGGGTGCTGAGGTTATAGGTAAGGCTCAAATCCAAGATCAGGATTGGGCTTGGGTTTGGGGTCAAAGCAAAGTCCAGGTTCTGCCTGGAATTAGAGCTGAGACCAGATCAACCCAGTCTGGGCAGGTCCTAAGCATTTCTCACCAAGGGATGCTGCCTCCCGGCTGGGGTCCCAGGCAGTCCCCGGGGGGCTCAGGAAGTCTGCAGAAGGAAGAGGGGAGTCACTATTGCTTCTGGCCTCCGAGTCACACACACCGCCGCCGCCGCCACCACTCACGCTCTCAGGACCGTGACCCTCCTCACACACACACACCTTTTGTCCTGGCCACTGGCTGGGCCAGCTCTTCATCCTCGTTCTCATACAACTCAGATGCTGCAGAAAAAAAGAGAATTGCAAGGACCTCTCCTGCCCTGTAGGAGCTCCGTGGCCCACCCCCCCAATCTCTGAGGCTCCAGGGGGACCTCAAATTACCATTGGAGAAGGAGTCTTCTTCCTCAGGACCCATGGCCTCGTCCTCCGGGTTCTCATAGCCGCTGCCATCTGGTGGAGAGGGAGGGGGTCCAGCGAGGGTCCACAGCCCCCGCTGAGGAGGT